CCTGAAAAACCCTAAAGAGCAAATGTCTAACGGGGGGGGGTGTTTACAAATAGAACTAATAAATGAATTCAGAAATTTACAGCTAGAAAGTCAATACAAAAAATCAATTGCACCTAACAATGAAAAATTCAAGTCACATGTGGTGGTAGCACATGCCTATAATCTGAGCACTAGGGATGCTGAGGCAGGGAAATTCATTAGTCAAGACCAAGCTAAACCACCTAGTAACATCCTATCTCAAATCAAACCAAATACAAAATACTAAAATAATTAGGAATAAACAAGTAAAATATTTATACACTGAAAACTACAAAATGAAAATCATCCCAGAAGAAATCTTGTGCTGAAATAAATCAGAAGAGACACCAGTAAATGGAAAGACATTTTTGTGGATTGAAAAACTTCCGTGATATCTTATGTTCTGCACTTAAAGAACATGTAAATTCAAAGAGATTCTTACTAAAATGTCAATGAAATTGCTTTCAGAAATGAGAAATTCTAAAACTCATGAAGAATATGAAGAAAAATTGCAAATAACCAAAACAATCTTGAATAAAACAAAAAAGTTGGAAGTTGCATACTTCCCATTTCAAAACTTATTACACACATATAGTAACCAGGTATGTATGGTACTAGAATAAAGACAGCCAAACATACAGACCCATGTAATAGAATTGGAGAGCCTAGTAATGAATGCTTACATTTGGTCAAATAATTTTTGACAATGAAGCCAAGAACATAAAAAGGAGAAGAGAGTCTTGTTAAATGGTGGTGGAGACAACATCAACAACAAAAGAGATAGAGGAGCCCTCACAAGGGAAGGAATATTTGCAAGTGCATCTATAAGGGCTTAATATCTAGAATAAACAAAGTTACATATTAGTAACAAAAAAGTTTAAAAATGAAGCAAGGAAGCTGGTGTGGTATTTTATGCCCATCATCCTGGCTCCTCAGGCTGAAGGGTATGATCATAGTTCCAGGACAGCCCAGACTAAAAGTTCATGAGATCTCAGTCAATAGCTAGAAATATAGTGTGTAATTGTTGTCCCAGACACAATGGGAAATGCAAAATGAGATTCTGGTCCTGGCAGAAACCCAGACTATCTCAAACAACAACAAAAACAAACATGTAATCATGGCTCAATGGGTAGATTACCTGTCTAGAAATTAGGAAGCCCTAAGTTAAAACCTAAATACCTCCATAAAAAATAGAGAGGAGAGAAACAAAAAAGATAATGGAAGAGAGGAAAGAGGAAAACAAAAATGTTTTGAATCCAAAAAATCACCAATAAAGTAAAGGAAAACTCACCACATAGGTCATTAGGGGCATGAATCCAAAGTACAGAAGAATGCTTATAATTCATTTATAAAGATATACAACCTAATTTATATGTAGAAACAATACTCATTTCTCCTAAGAAGATTAGTGATGAAACAATACAAAAAGATATCCAATCTTTTTTTTTTTTTTTGGGTCCAGTCATGGTCCTTGAACTCTTGGCCTGGGCACTGTCCCACAGCTCTTCAGCTCAAGGCTAGCGCTCTACCAATTGAGCCACAGCGCCACTTCTGGCTTTTTTCTTTTTGCTTATATGGTGCTGGGGAATCGAACCCAGAGCCTCAGGCATGCAAGGCAAGTGCTCTACCACTGAGCCACCTTCCCAGCCCCAAGATATCCAATCTATATCATCAGAGAAATGCAAATTACAATTATAACCACTGCAAGCCACTAGAGCCATATAACACACTTTTTGTTGGAGAAGATGTGAAGAAAATTAGAACCCTCAGACATTGCTGGTGGTGATATAAAAGTCTGGCCACTTCTGAAAATGGCTTAGGTTCCTTAAAATGAATCATATGATTCAACAGTTCCACTTCTGAAAAGAATGTACATACACACAAATAACAGGAGAAAGTTATCAATAATAGTTTATCAATGAATGTTTCTACCAGCATTATTTGTAGTATTCCAAGGAGATGGAAACAGCTGAAATGTCTACCTATGGAAAAATGACTGGACAAATTATATCCATTTGATAGGATATTATTCATCCCATTATAAGGAACAAAGCATTGGTTTATATTAACACAGATGACCTTTGAAAATACTGTACGTGAGGCTACAAACCAGTCAAAAAATACTTCACAGTATTTGAATCTGCTCATCTAAATGTCCAGGATAGTGAATCTTTAGACACATGAAGGCTTTGGCTGGGAGATGACATACGAGTGAAAATAGTTAAAGGATATAGGCCTCTGTTCATCACCTTGACAATAAAAATAAAGGATACTGGGCTGTTTTTTGTTTTTTAAAACCACAAAGGTTTTTATACTCATTGTGGTGGTATTATCACACAACTATGAATATACCTAAATCCACTAAACCATTCACTTTAAGTACTATTTTAAAAGTGACTGCGTATTATATGTATATTCAATTTGAAATTTAAAATTTATATAAAATGGAAGCTATTCTAAAAAATTATGAGTAGTTTGGAGAACCCGTCTTCAAAACTAATACTAGCCATACCCAAATGAGAGACGTGCCAAACATACATGGATGAAAACAACACGGAGCTCAGTGCTTTGGGCTCATGCCTATAATCTTAGCTTGTCAGTAGGCTGGAGTTCAGAGAATCATAATTTGAAGCCAGTCTGGCAGAAAAGTTGTTTTTTTTTTTTTTGCCGGTTGTGGGGCCTGAATTCCTCAGAACCCAGGGCCTCATGCATGCAAGGCAAGCCACTCTACCACTGAGCCACCTTCCCAGCCCTGGCAAAAAAGTTTTTGAGAATCCATATCCAAAATAGCAAAAAGCTAGTCTAGTTCAAGTGGTAAAGCACCAGCTGAGCAAGTAGTAGATCCTGTGTTCAAGTAAGTACTAGCTGCAACACACACACACACACACACACACACACACACACACACACACACACGGTATGCTACAAAATTTATACAGGTAGAGTCCTTGATATTAAAACCTGACTAAGAATAAGGGGAAAAAACATTTGTTAATACATATGGTAAAGTTCTCAATACAATTGCAAATGAACTTTAATAATGATCAAAATGCACAATGCATCTTGAAGAAGTTGGGAAAATACCAAAAAACAAAAACTGGTTTAACATTTTTAAATTCAGTGATAATTTACCATATAAACAGCTTAAAGACTATATATTTCAACCATATTCACCCTTATCTGTCCTCTCTGTTGACTCCACTCTTCTAGAACCTTCCTTACTCCAACATAGCCTGTTTTACTGTCCTGTCATTCCTTTTTTACCAGCATATATTAATTGTAAAAAGGGGTTTCACAATAGTAATTCACAAAGGACTAGGAATTTTTTTTTAAGAACTGGGGACTGAACTCAGGGCTTCAAGTGCTCAACCACTTGAACTCTACCCACACTACTTGTGCTTTTTTTTTTTTTTTGCCAGTCGTGGGCCTTGAACTCAGGGTCTGGGCCACTGTTCCTGAGCTTCTTTAGCTCAAGGCTAGCACTCTGCCACTTGAGCCACAGTGCCACTTCAAGCATTTTCTGTTTATGTGGTGTTGAAGAACTGAACCCAGGGCTTCACTTTTAGTGTTGTTGTTTTTTTTTTAAATAGAACTTCAAACTGTCATCTTCCTGTCTCCACCTCCTCAATATCTAGATATCTAGAACTGCACGCAAATACCACCAAGCTCAGGTTTTTTTTTTATTGATTGAAATTGAGTGTGTGTGTGTGTGTGTGTGTGTGTGTGTGTGTGTGTGTGTGTATCACTTAACTTCTGCTCAGGCTGGTCGTGAATCATGATCCTCCAGTCTTAACCTGCCAGGCCCCTGGCATTTACAAGTATGTAATACCACTTCCAGTTTGAGATTGCTCTGATTTGTTTTGTTGATGGTACTAGGGTTTGAACCCAGGGCCTCTCACTTGATAGGTAAATACTCTACCATATGAGCCATGTCTCCAGTCTTGGAATAGTATTTTTCTAATTTTTTAAATGAGACATCTAAAGCAAAAGCCATAAAGTAAAATGTGATGATTTTTTTTACTAAATTAGGACTGAGCTTTTTATCATTAAATACACAAATAAAGAAAATGAATCCACAGAATGAAAGAAGACATTTTCAGTTTTATCAAAATGAAATGATTTATATTTAACAAAATACATTATTGGCAATGGAAGAAAATATGCAAATTAATCGAATACTATTCAGCCATAAAAAGGATGAAATCTTGTCATTTGAAACAATATGGATGAAACCAAAGTTCCTATGTTAAGTGAAATAACCAAGCACAGAATGACAAGTCCCATGTGATCTCACTCATGTGGTATCTAAAAATACTAATTTCATAAACATTGCAAAGGATGGTGGTTACCAAGGCTGATATGTTGTAGATATACATTAGTGCAAAGCATTACTCATGTTTTGTGGTTATGCTGGTGTAAAAAACCTCCTATGCTGTCATGAATTATGTGTAAAATTCTAAACTACTGTCAGTGGCTTGTGTATGTAATATACTTATTTTTTTAATGTTTGCTGGAAAAAATATCCCATGCCTCACTGTATGAGCAACACACATATATATTGTGACGAGATTGGGCATGTTCAGGGTGGTATGGCTGTAGACATCATACATATTGTGTTAACCCCATCTCTTGATTGCTTTGAGGCTATCTTAAATGATTGACTTACTGGGTTTGTGTATGTATACTCCATGATGTTCAAACAATAACAAAATTACCTCAAATTTCTCAGAACATACCTCCATTGTTAAGCATGTGTGACTGACTGCAGATTACATATACAGTAAACATGAATGAGATTTTTTAAATATATGTCTAAAAATTTGCTAAGCACAAAATTTAGTATCATTTCATTTTTTGTATTTATCTATTCTGGGATCACTATACTTACTTCTTTTCTACTATAATTATCTCTGTGTTTAGGATCTTGTTTAGAAACACCGTATTTTAAAGTTATCTCATTTTTAAATAACTATTTTCTATAGGTATTTGATGGGAATGGAGTTGATGTTACTCCCCGACCACTTTACCATCCAGATCCACATAGTGTTACCCCAAAGCCAAATAAACTATTGGGATCACAAGAAGGATCACTTGGATCAGAATTTATTAGTTCCTATAGTCTTTATCAGAACACAGTAAATCCTAGTATGTTAGGACAGCTTACCAGGTAAAGTATACTTTTCTGTAGTTCTTTTTATGCCATATATATTGTCTTTCAACTTAAATTGTGTATACATATGTATATGTGTATGTATACGCATATATACATCAGGTGTTCCTAGTCTCCCAACTTCCATATAGCTTCATAATGTGCCATCTCTGTGTCCTCTTGTAATATGATTAGATGCGGAGTTGTTCACATTTGATAAACTCTAAAGCATTTTTGAGATATACAGATTTGTGTGTGTGTGTGTGTGTGTGTGTTTCTAGGTACTGGTGGCGCACATGTGTGCATCGGTCTTGGGGCTTGAACTAAGGGTCTGGGACATTAGCTCAGGGCCTGGATACTCTCCCTGAGCTTTTCCTTTCAAGTATAGCACTCTACCAATGGAGCCACAGCTCCATTTCCAGCTTTTTTTGTACTTAATTAGAGATAAGAATCTTATGGACTTTCCTGCAGAAGATAGCTTTGACCCCCAGTCCTCAGATCTCAGCCTCCTAAGTATCTAGGATTACAGGTGTGTGCCACCAGTACCTAGAAACATACAGATTTTTATGTACTAAAAATTGAATCTAAAATTACAAACAATTGATTGCCAATTCCCATTAGATCTTTTCCATCAGTTTCTTCTGTTTTTTTTTTTTTTTGGTTTTTGCTGTATTTTATGGGAGGGGTGGCTTTCTCTCTCAACCCCACCCATCCTCCCATGAAAATCCTTATAATTCATGGATTTTATTTCTCTGTTATTTTCAAATACAGTGAAGTTATAATGTTCTAGAGCCTGCCTCCAAATTTTCATCCAAAAGGCATGGGGATACTGGCTGAAACAAGGATGTTTCAATAAACTTAATTCATGCCTTTGGTAGACAGTTGATACCATAAATAGAAAATAAAAGCTATGTAGTATAATGGAGTCATGTTAAGTTTATAAGTAAGAAAATTATTTTAGATTCATTGTTTTTCTTCTGAGATATATTTTGTATTAAACTTTGAGAGTACTTTTATTAATTAGACAAATCATGTATTTAAGATAAGATTTGGAAAATAGGAGAAACCAAGCAAAAAAAAAAGAAAGTAATAATACCCTGGAAGTAATAGAGATTTGTAAGACTCAGGAAGCAAAAAATAAAATAAAACATAAGAAAAGGAGGGAAAGGATAAAGATGTGAGTGAGTGTGTGTGTGTGCGTGTGTGTGTGTGTGTGTGTGTGTGAGAGAGAGAGAGAGAGAGAAAGAGACTAAATGAAAAGACTGAGAAGGAATGTAGGGTATATTTTGAATTTTATTCAAAATATATTTGGAGTATATTGAGGACTTCTGGCATAAATTTTGACATATATTATTCTCAACTTAATATTTTAAAAAGCAATTTATTTTGACCTATGTTGTTTGATTATAGAGTATTTGATTTCTCAATCTGATCATATATTTTAATTTATGTATGATTTATATATAATGCCCATAAGGATGTTAGATAAATGAATAATGTTATTTACTGTTAAAGATCAGTTTTGGGAAGCAGTACTGTTTCTAAATCAAGTATATCTACAACTGAATCAATCACAGAAGACCTGGAAGAACCATCCTATAAACGAGAAAGATTGGCTAGTTTTACAGGTAAGAAAATATACTTTCTCTTTACTCTTGTATTTATTTTTCTTGTTTGAATAATGTTAAAAGTTTTACAAGCAAATAAGCTTTTTTCAATACTGGGATTTGAACTCAGGGCCTCATACTTGATTAGGAAGTCTCTCTACACTTGAGACACGCCCTCATACTGGTGGTTATGATTCAAGGAAGGTATTTTTCTCAGCATATGGATCTTATTAAGATTGCAAAGTGCATATTCTTGGACTTATTTTTCTGAAACTATTCAATTATTCAACTACTCAGACTTTACCTAACCCAGTGTCTCAAGGATTCCTGCTTTATAACACTAGAAAACAATAAGGCTCAAATTTGGTGGTCTGTAATTCTAACACTCAAGAGGCAGAGGCAAGAAGATCAAGAGTTTGAAGTTGTAACAGTATTTTCACAGTAAAAAAAAAGAAAAAGAAAAAACATCTTAGTTAACATAAAAAAAGAGTTTGAAGTCAGCAAATGTACACGTGAGAACCCCATCTCATAAAACCAAACAAAACCAAACACAAGATCTTACCAAACCCAAACAGAGCAAAACCTCCAGAAATACATTGAACTCTGACCTCTGTGTTCCATCATAGCTCTCTCTTACCTATATAAGGAATCCCAAACTTACTTATCCTTGAAAGTCTATCTTCAGTAAAATTTTCCAAGGGTTTTGTATCTCTTACTACTTTAAAGTTTGGGGGTAAATTCTTTTCAACATATACATACATGTTCATTGAGCCTTTTTGATTTTCATTTTACTTATTCAATCAGAACTTCTTTTGGCAAGCCTTTCTAGCCTCTGGAAAGATGATTAGAAGTGGACTAAATTGAAATAAAAAACTACTAAATAATAATAGGCTTAACAAAAGCTTGTATTCTGTGTGCTGCAAATACATTGCATGGTACTGAGTAGTACCAGAGTTACCCACCCCACAATTCCTATTAATATAGGGTCATTATTCTGGGTTGTCATTGGAGTTACCATTATTGGGATGAGATTAAGTTAGGATTGATTTCTATAGTCAATAACCTACTTATGGGCTATCATATCCAGTTTGTTCAGAGAGTTTGAATGGACTATGACTCACAACCATATATGGTTCCCCAACCATATATGTCTCTGGCAATGAATCATGGAAATTAATGACTAGGAAAAAATACAAGTTTAAATGATCCATTAGTAAATTATTTTTATGAAATCATATATTTCAGAATTACGGGTTGTAAGGGCAGCAGCACATGAAACAATTATAACAAAAGAAGACCTAGAGAAGACAATAGAGATAAAACTCACTGAGACAGAGACACTAGAACTGTTTAACCTGCCAACAGTTATGATCTCTGTAGAATCAGAAGAAGCTGAGAAAGTAATGTATGTATAATTCAATATCTATCTTGCTTCTTTAATTCACATGCTAAAGCAGGGGTCTTTATGAAAGGTCCTTGGAGATTTCTGTGTATATGTTATGGTGTATGTACTGTGTTAACTTAAATATATAAAGTTATATAAATGTCCTGTGAAATGAGAGGGAAAGCGCTTATATTGCATGTATCATGGAGAGAAAGACTATAACTTTATCATTTTTAAAATAATTGCAATAGAATTTGAAGAAGAAATGGAGATGATGGATAATGGATTCAAAGTTAAGTAACATTAAATTATGTGAGTGATTCTAATTAATAATTATGTATTACATCCCCCAAACAGAGGATTTTGAATGATTTTACCACAAAGAAATAATAAATGTTTGGGGTAAAGTAAAAGCTGTTTAATGTGATTTGATAAAAATTTTCACGTTTCAGAATACTCCATTGTACCAGATAAATATGTTTAAACAGTATTTGTCAACTAAAAAATAAAACAACAAAAATAGATAAACTTCTAAGCCAAAAATAAGACTCAATAAAGGTTTTCATTATTTTATGCATATCTAAATTATTTTTAAATTAAAATGCAAGTCTGACATTTTATATTTGATTTTAAAAGGGGAATGCAAGGAAACTAATGGACTTTATTAAAGCAGGATTACAATGTTTCCCTTTATTAATGAATATTAATAGATTATTAGTTCTCTGTTGTTAGGTTTAGAAAATTAAGAACTGTTATGCTGTTTGCAGATTTGATATATTTTATTTTGGCAGTATTGGGGTTTGAATTCAGGGCTTCATGTTTGCTAGGCAGGTACTCTACCACTTGAGCAATTCCACCAACATTTTGTAAAATGTAGTACAGTTAAGCCATGGATGAAATATCTTTACAACTCTTAAGAAGTAAGGGAATATGGCTGGAGATAGAACCTCTCTGGGAGAATGCCTGCCTCGTATGTGTGAGGGCTTGCAATAGGTCCCCAGCACCACCAAAAAGGAAAGAAAAGGGAGGAAATAGGGATAAGTAGCTGAAATCAAAAGAGAAAGGGATACAAGGAACAAATGTTAGCATCAGTGTCTTGATTTGGAGACCAGTAGTAATTTGAGCTGAAGTATATTGTATTAATTAAGCAAGACCTGCAGAAGGAGCTTATGGAATATGATTGCATCTTAGTAGCAGAGTGCATTCATAGCATGCCAAGAGCCTGTGTTCAGTCCTCAGCAACAAAAGAAAAATGAGAATAACAACTCAGTTATCACAGTTTTATATTAATAAGCTCTTCTTGCTACTTTCATAAGCAAAAACTTATCTTTAGAGGAATGAAGTAAAGCATATGCTTTTTAGATCCTTAAGATTCTCTTTGATTAAATTTGATAAATGCATACCAAATCAATAAAGAAATAAGTCATTATAAATAAGAAATAACAACCATAGAGGATTTTAATATCATATATAGAACATGAAATGTATATGAAAGAGTGGAAACATAATGTCGGAGTTATGGCTCATGCCTGTAATCCAATCTATGTAGAAGGTAGAGATTGGGAAGATCAAGGCTTGATGCCAGTTCAGGCAAGGTTAGCAAGATCCCATCTCAACCAATAAACTAGTCCTGGTAATGTATGTTTGTGATCTCAACTACCTTGGAGGCATAGGTAGGAGGATTGGGTCTAAGAACAGCTAGAGCAAAACATGTGAGATCCTCCCTGAAAAATAACTAAAGCAATCAAAAGGACTAAATATTAGAGGCCTGTCTAGTAAACTGAAGTATTAGAGGCCTGTCTAGCAAGCATGAGGCCTTGTCTTCAAGCCCCAATATTACAAAAAATGAACATTATTATCAAAATGATGAAAAGAACTTCAAAGCATATCAAACAAATACAGTTGTTGAAAATAAAAGGCAAATATTGGCTTATAGATTAGATTTAATGACTACAGAGTTAATTAGAAAATAGATCTAGATGCGTTAAAATAAAGCTTTAAGAGAAAAATGATTTATCAAGTATGAAACAGAAATTTAAAAATATGTTTACAACAGAATTGTAGTCTAACATATCCAACCAGAGTTTCATAAGGTCATAATACAAAGAGTACAGATGTGGTATTTTTAAAAAGGGTAAGGACTTTCCCAAAGTACTGAAAGCAAATGTCTTCATGACATTGTGTCAGCATTCCAGAATAGTAAAAATACAAACAGAAAAGTTGAAAATATAAGAAAAATATGGGAAATATATATACAACCTTCAGAGAACCAAACTGATTGTATTATTATAGCTGAAGATCACTTCATAATGGGAGGCATAATAATTTCAAGCTTATTTTTCTTAATTATTTATTGATGAGTCAACCAACATATAGCTGTTGTATAGGTATAGATGATTTGGAAAAAAATGTTACATACCTCAGCAATCAACAACAGAGCAGATCACTTTCTATAACCTAACAGTTATAGAAATCAAGCACATAGCCATAGCCTTGTAGAATCATAAAAACAATTCTATAACCACAATGCAATGAAAATAATTAAAAATTAATTATATTAATCACAACTAAAACACACATTTGCATGTACGCTGGGAAGTTAGAAAACATTTCTAAGTTTCTCATAGATCAAAGAGGTTAAAATGCAAATTTGAAGAATACTCAGAACTAACCAATTATATATACTTATGGGATGCCACAAGAAAGAATTTATAACTTTAAATCTTTGTATAAAACTTGAGCATAGTACTAGCATATTCTAGGTGGGCCATGAAGTATTAGAGATATTGGGAGACACAGAAAAAAGCCATCCTGTGGTAATAACACAGTCTTTTACTCTGGATTAAAAAAAAACTCTTAACTTCACCTTTTAGTACAATTCACATTAATGAAAATAACTTCAAGTGAATATAAAGAGATGATATATGGGCTGGGGCATAGCCCAAGTGGGTAGGGCACTTGCCTAGCAATTGATAATATTCTAAGTTCAGTTCCCAATAGCATTAAAAACATGTATGCTAGCAACTATTTTTAATGAGCTAGTTATATTTTATCTTTTATAGCAAGAGAAATAAGAATTATGAAGACCTTTGCAAGAACAGAGTAGGCAATGACTTATATGTTGAAAGGATGATGCAGACATTTAATGGATCACCAAAGAATAAAGATGTTCAGTGTGATAAAATCATAATGGAAGAAAAAGGTAATATATTTTATTTCCCGGGGTAAACTACTATGGTTTTTGTTTGTTTGTTTGTTTGCCAGTCCTGGAGCTTGAACAAAGGAACTGGGTTCTGTCCTTGTGCTTCTTTATCGCAAGGCTAGCTCTCTGTGCTTGAGCCACAACTCCACTTCCAGCTTTTTCTGAGTAATTTATTTGAGATAAGAGTCTTATGGACTTTACTTCCCTCACTGGCTTCAAAATTGATCTTCAGGTCTCAGCCTCCTGAGTAGCTAGGATTATAGGTGTGTGCCACCAGCATCCAGAAAACTATTATGTTTTAATATGTGTCCATTCAAACTGGCAATCATTGAACAAATACTGAAGTACATGAAGCAAAAATTGAAATCAATTGGTCAAATGGAAATAATAGTTGTGAACTGTAATTTATAGTTTTCAGGATGTTATGAATTCATATATAATAAAGATACATAATAAAGATACATGTGAATAACATGATTATTAAGTTCATTAAAAAGCTCAATGTCTTCTGTACTTTTTCTTAGTACTGCTTATCTGTACAAAGGATGCATGTCTGAGCCTCACTCTAGAAAAGAGGTCTGTTTGACTAGCTGTGCTAGTTTCTACTAGTACTGGTATGTAAGATGCTAGTTGGCAATTCCTTACTATTTTCTGAAGGGAAAAGTAGTAAATCAATTTAGCTATGTATTTAAAATTTCATTTTTCAATTAGTTCTATCACCAATAAAGGTAATATTTTGATCTTCATTTTTCTGATTCCTGCATCTATTTTTCAATCTCATCTGAAGGCAGGCATGTTTTCATTGAAATATAAAACCTTACCATTTACTTGGTCTCTATCTAAATTATTTAATGTAACTGCCTTTGTTTATTTAAAAAAGATTGGAGGAAGGGGTGGCATTGGAAGGGATGGGGGAATAACGAAAGGGGTGACAGTGATTAAGATTCATTATTGCTGGTCTCTAGTGGCTCACAGTATAATCCTAACTACTCAGGAGGCTGAGATCTGAGAATCGTGGTTCAAAGCCAGTCTGGGTAGGAAAGTCTGTGAGATTCTTATCTCCAATTAGCCACCAGAAAACTGGAAGTGGAGCTGAAGAGGGTTAGCTTTGAACTCTCAAGCCCTGAGTTCAAGCCCACAACTGACAAAAAAAAAAATAAAATGCATTGTATTCATGGAATACTTGATACTTGGTTGAATGGCAATTTATTTGTGAAACTACTTAAAGATAATAAGTACAATAAGAAAAAAGCCAAAAGAAAATGAAAAATAAGGTTCTACCAAAATATAGTTACCATTGATCTAGTTGTTACTATGTTCCACACACTATAGCTAAAAGTTTCTGTTAATGCTCAAGTAGAGATATACAAGTAACTCTAAGGTAATCCCATAATTTATGTCTACAAAAATTCAGACTACCCAGATTGTTGGTGGCTCATGCCAGGATGCTGAGATCTGAGGATTGTAGTTCAAAGCCAGTACAGGCAGGAAAGTCCCTGAGACTCTTATCTCCAATAAACTATTCAGAAGAAACTGGAAGTGGTGTTGTTGCTCAAGTGGCAGAACACTAGCTTTGAGTAAAAGAAACTCAAGAGCAGGACTGGCACACACATACATAAAATTCAGATAGTAAACGCTAGATTATCCCTATTGTAGAGTATTTAGGATTGAAGTACACCTGAAATGCGTTGGACAAAGCTCTTCAGAGGAAAAAGATCTGAGCAAATACTGGCCCCCCAGGCAACACACTGAAATTTATTAAAATATATTCAAACCAAACATATACCTATATGTAGTATAAGAAAAGAATTCATTCCATGTGCTTATCAGACATGATAGAAAACAACATCCCTAATTGCTAATAACCTCCTGGTCACTTTATTATTATACCCATTTCTTCTGGATTTATCTTAGACTCAGAAATGCTGAGGAAGAAAGGAGTAATTTGAAATATTACTTTCTAGAACTAGTTAAACTATCTTAAATGATACATTACTATTTAATTGGAAAATAATCATTAATTATTTATGACCATTTTGAAGATGATATTAGGGCATATAATTTTGAGATTTTATTTTATATAGTTTAAAAGTATTATTTTTTGTCTATTTAGGTGTAATGGCGACTACCTGGGATTTATATGATTCTTACAATGCTCTGGAACTTTCTTTATCAGTAAAACGGCCTGTAATGACCACAGCTAGTAAAACAAATGTACCTCCTAGAGATAGAGAACAAAGACAACTAGGAAGTGCAACAGACAAAAGTAAGATTTCACATATTTCAGTTTTTTTCAATGCTTTTTTCACGTGACATTTTAAATCCTTTTTAATAAATATGAAAATTTCAACTTTTACTCAGAAATAGTGTTGGTCCTCTTTCACATTGTCTTGGACACTACTGAAAAGGTAATTTATTCTTGGATAATTGTCAAGAGTTTTTGAGTCTTTAGTGTTGTTTTACTTGTTCTTAAGTTTTTAAATTCTTTCACTTTATCTCTTCTGTAATTTTTTTTTCTGTGCTGTTACTGGGACTTCAACCCAAGGCCAGGGCACTCTTCCTTAATTATGTATTTTATGAACGGTTGGTCCACTGTTACTTGAGACATTTATTCACTTCTGGCTTTTTGCTAGTTAACTAGAGATAAAAGTCTCACAGACTTTTCTGCCCAGGCTGAATTCAATCCTCAGCTCACAGCCTCCAGAGTAGCTAGGATGATAGACATGAATAATTGATGCCCACATTCTCTCTTAATTACCATAAATTAGATATTTTACAAGCAAAAGAAAATATATCAGCACTGTTACCACAGAAAATGGAGATTTATTAACAGCAGTGACACTTACCTTGGGGCAGTTTTACTTCCCTATGGGAGGTTTGACAATGTCTGAAGATATTTTTGAGGGTGTATTATTAAAAGTGAAGATATTGTTAAAAATTAATACTGGAATGCTGAATATAAAAGTTGGATATGTGACAATCCTAAGGTATTTGGGAGGTAGGGATAGGAGGCTCATGGTTTGAACCTTTCTCAAAAAATAAAGTGGGTATGGTTGTATATATGATTAATCCCAGTTTATGTAAGAGGTTCACATAGGAAGACTAAAGTCTGAAGCTAGCCTTGGCAAAAATGCAAGATCTTATCTGAAAAACAGGTGAAAGCAGAAAGGACTAGACATGTGAATTGAGAAGCTGAACAATTTTCTGTCAAGTTCAAGGTCCTAGATCAAATCCTAGTTCTGAGTAAGATGGATATAAATCCTTTATCAGATGTATATTTTGTTGAAATTTTCTTCCAGTTCAAGGTTTATGTTTTAAGTGTCATAATAGGTTTTTTTAAAAAATAAGTCCAGTTTATTAATTTTTATGTTTTATGTTTTTGATGCCCTTATCTAAAAACTTATGTCCATTTTCTCCTATGTTGACTTCTAAAATTTTTATAGTTTTCTATTTTACCCTTAGGTAAAAAATTCATTTCACTTAGTTTCATAAAAAGTGTAAGCTTTATGTCTTGATTAAAATTATTTCTGCCCATGGATGTCTCTATTATCTACTCTGCAATATTGTAAAGAAATACCTAAGGCAGTTAACATAAAGAGAAAAGGTTTACTTTGGCTCATACTAGTTCTAGTCTAAGATTGAGTGTACATTGCTTTCTAGCTTTGGAAAGGATGAGATACCATGGAAGGAACTTTATGAGCCAGAAAACAAGAGAGCAGCTGTACAGGCCAGGGCCCCTAAATTCTCATCAAGACATACCCATATGACCTAAGAACCTCCCACGTGGTTCACAGCATCTCAATACCACCATCCTGGGGACAAAAACTTCATTTAGCACACTGACCTACAGGGGGCCCTCATCCAAACCGTAGCTGTGTCCAATTGTCCAATAGTTCCCAGCACCACTTACTGAAAAGGCTAACTTCACTCAATTGAATGCCCTTGCTCCTTTGTCAGATATCAGCTGGCTTCACCAGTGTGATTTAATTCTGGACCCTGTTCTATTTATCAGTTTGTCTATTGGTTTGCCAGAACTGCATGCCTTGATTAACGGTAGCCTTAGAGTAATTCTCATATCAGTTAGTGTCAGTCATCTGTCTGTTTTTGTTTGTTTAAGACATGGTTGAATATAAAATGTCATTGTGTGAATTTCTTTGCATTTATCCTCTTTGAGATTCATTTAGTTTCTTGAGTCTATTTTTATTTATTTAGCCAAATTTTGAGCATTTTCAATGATCAGTTCTTTACGCTTTTTTTTGTGCTGGTCCTGGGACTTGAATTCAGGGCCTGAGCATTGTCTCTGAGCTGCTTTGGCTCAACACTAGTGCATTACTACTTGAGCCACAGCTCTACTTTCTGCTTTTTTTTTGAGATTAATTAGAAATATGAGTCTCATGGACTTTTCTGTCTGGCCTAGCTTTGAAAGATCCTCAGATCTCAGCTTCCTGAGTAGCTAGGATTACAGACATGAGCCACCAGTGCCCAGTTTAGTTCTTCATGGTTTTTTTTTGTCACACCTTTTTTCCTCTTCTGAAATGCTGATGACATATATGTGTGATCTTTTGTTGCAGTCTCACTGATTTCTGACGCACTGTTCATTCTGTTCAGATTATATTCTCTCTGTTGTAAAGACTGCTATATTGTATTCAAGGTATAAATGTGAAAATGGAACTAGGTAAATTGAGAGGATGCATAGGGTTAGGAGAGATGGGGACAATGATGGAAGGGTTGACACTGATCAAGGTACATTGTACTCACAAACTGACAGGTTGAACTGAAACTCTTTGTACAACTCCTTAATGATAATTTTTTTTTTTTGGGTCCGGTCATGGGCCCTGAACTCTGGGCCTGGGTGCTATCCCTCAGCTCTTCAGCTCAAGGCTAGCACTCTACCACTTGAGCCACAGCGCCACTTCTGGCTTTTTTCTTTTTGCTTATGTGGTGCTGAGGAATCGAACTCAGGGCCTCATGCATACAAGGCAAGCGCTCTACCACTGAGCTACCGTCCCAGCCCTAATGATAATATTTTTAAAGACTGTTATAGTGTTCTTTATTCAAGTTCACTGATTTTTTTCACCTATCCCATTCTGCTGTCAAACTAACTGATATTTAAATTTTTTATTATATTTTCCAGTTCTACACTTTCCATTTGTCTTTTCTTACTTCTAAAACATTGTATTCTTTTTCTTAAGTTTTTTTTTTGCTATTATTTTTTGGTTTGTGAGACAGTTTCACTATATAGCTCAGACTAGCCTTGAAGGATATCAAGGCCAGATTTGGCTGCACAGCGAAACCCAACTGGGGAAATTGTTTTGGACAATTTATTTGAACTTTCAACTTCCTACTTCTGTTTCCTTAGTACTGACATTACAGGCATGTGCCACTATACCAGGGAAGAATTTTATAAATTTGAATTATTTTAAGACACTGTAATGTGTCAGAACAGTAACAAAACTAATACAGTACTGTAGTAGTCCCAAAAAGCAATCATCAGGTGAGACCTTTATCTGAAGACTGAATATAAATAAGAAAGCATGCTCTTGTTTGAATGCATCCACTGAAGTTTATCTTTTGGAAATTTAAACCTTGAATTCATATATTGATGGTATGTAGAAGTAGGCCTTGGGGAGGTGACTAGGTTTTTTTTTGGGGGGGGTGGTGTCATGGAGGTAGCCTCCCCATAATGAGATAGTGGTTTCGTAAGAAGAGAGATCATAATGTTTGTCTTGCCGTGGCATAGCAAGAAGGTGCTACCAGCTACAGATGTTGACATGGAATGTCTCAGCCTTTAAAGTTATAAGAAATAATATTTTTCTTTCTTCATAAACTACCCAGTCTGTAGTTTTCTGATATAGCAAGAGAAAATGAACTAATACAGATAAATTACCTAATAAAACGTTCATTGCTTATCTTCTGAGAAACTGTGTATATTGATGGTTTAAAATTCCAAAATAAATTATAATAATAAATAATAAATTTCCAAAATAAACACATTAATATGTGTTTATCTTACATTTTATGTGTATATAAAAAGGTTTAATATATGTACATGTTGTTTAAAGTTTAATATGTGTATATACAAATACATGTGTTGTTGGAAATTGGTATAAAGAGAAATGACAAAATGTCATTTAAAAATATTTAGATTGTATGAATCCTCTAACAATATTTCGATATTTTATAATTGCATTCTGTTTACATTTTATAGCTAGTGAAGCTAGTTCTCTAATGGATATAGAAAATGTAATTCTGACTAAAGTGCATGATAATGAAGAAGACCAGTCAGAGGCAATATTAAAATCTGACAATTTTCATCAGGATTTGTTTTTTATGGAACGAGTGTTAATGGAAAATGTGTTTCAGCCAAAGTTTGCAGCTTATCGTCAGCTTCCTATTTTAAAAGGTATTTTTAAAGAACATATTCATGCTTAGACACTCAATTACAAATTTTAAGTGATACTATTATAATATCTAATCTGGGTTATGATTAGAAGATGTATTTTTATAGTTTTCAACTCTTAACATGTAAGTAACAATAGAGTCCAACCCAGGAAATCCACAAAAGACTGTTCCTTAGATTTAAAATGGAATAAGCACTGTGGTTTTTTTCCTCCTAGTCCCCACATTCAATTAGTTACATTTTCTGTAAAATCTCTCATGTTTAATCCTTTTTTCCATTGCCATTAAATGTTCATATTCTGGATTTTATTACCATTTCCAAATTATATTGCAAAGCAGTCTTCCTACCTTCATTGATACAAAACTCAGCTCATTTATTCACATTTTGTTTTCCTTACTATTCTTAATTAATTAATTATATAAAATCTTGACTTTGCTGGGGATTGAACCTCAGATCTTTTGCATGTGTTGCTCAATACCCTACATTCACCATATCTCCAGCCTTATTTTATTACATATTTATTTTCTTACTTATTTATTTTTGGCAGTACTAGGGTTTGAATTTAGGGCCTAATCTTTGCTAAGCAGATACTCTATTATGAGCTGTATCTCTAGCCTTCTTTTGAAGGTGATTTTGAAATAGGGTTTTACATTTTGCTTGGGTTCATGAATATTTAGGATTTCTAGCATAACTGCGATAACAGTGTATACCACTATACCCATTTTCTTTCATTGTGTGAGAATACACAAAATTCTCTACTCATTATCCTTCCAATCTTAGGCTCCCAATCTTAGCCTCACACATAGCTGTGAGTAAAGGCATGCACCACTATGCCTGGCTATGTATTGAGAAAGGGATTGTATATGTATGCCCAGGCCAGTGTAAATTAGAGTCCTTCAGGCCAGTGTTAGAGTCCTCCAATCTCAGTCTCCCAAACTGTTTATATCTTGAGCCAATAGTATTCTCATTTTTTGTTATTTGTAGTGATGTTATTAGTGGTGATGGAGATTAATTCCAGAGGTATGCCTCTACTAATGAACTATATCCCTAGGTCCTTGAAAGTTTTGATTGATTTTAGAGATAAGTCAGATTCAATACATGAATGAAGAAAATGAAGGCTATAGAAAAAAATTTAGGTTACACAGTAAGTGACAAGATTAGGCATTCAGTGAGGGGCTTTTGACTCCAAGTATGGTTCCCTTTCTTCTATACCATCCAACCTTATTGATGCGTTCTGACCACTATATAACCATATGGCACTTGATTGCTCAAAAACTTTCAATACCTTCCCACTGTCTAGAATAAATTACACATCTCAGAGTATCTCATTCAAAGATGCATGCAACCTAGCCAGATGTTATATCACTAGGTTGCTTTACACCCTAAAAGTTAGCCAAAATAGACTTACTTAGTCACCCTGAAAAGAACCTAACCTTTGATGCCTTAATGCCTTTATCTGAAATCTACTTAATAGTTCGTTCTTGTCATTACATTGTTTTTGCCTACTTTATTCCCAGCTTGCAAATATGGATAAGGGAAAACTCTTTCGTTTTTGAGTCTTCAAGTCTAATTAATCTTTTATATGGGTACATTAACAAACTTGTCACAAATAATGTGACAAATGATTAACTTTAGTTAAATCTAGAAAAATATAATTTATGATCATTTTAAATTACATTGATATTCAAAATTTTCATTTTATATGTAAAATTTCAATCCTACATCCTATGTGGATATATTTTTTGAGACAGGGTCTCACTCTGTTGTACAGGCTGACCTTAAACTTACTATATAGCCCATTAAATTCAAGATGCTACTGCGTCCACCTCCAGAGCATTGAGTTTATAGGCATATGCCACCATATCTGTCACTACTGATTTTTTTTTTGGCCAGTGTACTTTTATTCACATTGCATATTTTGGCAGTTTCCAGAGAAGATCCGTGAAGAAATAGAATGAAGAAAAGGCAGGCAGAAGGGCAATGGACTCTATGTTATAGCCTGAGCAAATGAACACATTATCTTCATACTTTGATGTGCCATTCATAAGGGAAATATCTTTTTTTTTCAGTATCTATTGAGATAAAACGAAGAAAAAGAACCCACAGAAACCCATTTTTCAGCTGACCAGACTAGCGGTAAACCAAGTGTTCCTCTTCAGCCCTAAATTATAATTTGGTTTACACAGACATTTCATTTCAATAAAACATAACAATGGTCCACTTTATGGGTGATATAATATTGGTCTCAGTTAATAAGAGGTAGACCTACTGGTTTGACATAAGTACATCAGAGGTTAGGATTTAAATCTGACAAGATGTAAGGGAACTTATACCTTAGTTAAATTGTGTGTGGGGGTGTTCCTTGGTATAAGTTAAAATACCGTCTACAGTATATAGGTTGCATTTGACTTCTTTTCCAATTTAAAAACAGTCACAATACCTAACTTATCTTTTGTCCTTTAGAGGCATTACATTTTTCATCTGAATGTGCCACTGTGGCTTATTTATTGAATGGTCAGAAAAGCTGCTAGTTTTTAGTGGCATCTAGAGCAACCAAAGACTGCAGAAATCTAGACACGATTCAAGGTGCTCTATTATTTCAGCTGTAAAATCCAGCAGATCCAATAATACTTGAAGTGTCAGTGATGTAGATGCTGTTTGAAGCCTCTGACAGCCTTTTAGATTATAGAGGACAATAATGTTTCTATTTGATTTAATTTTAGAACCTGAGCCTGAAGAGCCTGAAGACTTTTTAGAAGGTGAGACCCTGGAAGAGGCAGAGGATGAATATAAGAAGGAGGAGGAAGAAGAAGGAGAAATACATGCAGAAGAATCGACAATACCAGCCAATTTGGAACGACTTTGGTCTTTTTCCTGTGACTTAACCAAAGGCCTTAATGTGAGCAGCCTTTCCTGGAATAAAGCAAATCCAGTAAGTTATCAGCCATTTTATCAATCTCATCATTTTTTTTTTTTGTCGGTCGTGGGGCTTGAACTCTGGGCTTGGGCACTGCCCTTGTGCTCTTCAGCTCAAGGCAAGCGCTCTACCGCTTGAGCCACAGCACCACTTCCTATCTCATCAATTTTTTAAAGCAATGGTTGAATTAATAATCAAACTTTCTTCCCTCCCTACAGAGCATAGTCCCTAGTTTTAAAATTCTTAAAACAGCTGGGTGCCAGTGGCTCATGCCTGTAATCCTAGCTACCAGGAGGCTGAGATCTGAGGATCATGGTTCAAAGCCAGCCTGGGCAAGAAAGTCTGTGAGATTCTTATATCCAATTAAGCACCAGAAAACTGGAAGTGGCACTATGGCTGAAGTGGTAGAGTGCTCATCTTGAGCTGAAGAGCTGAGGAACAGCACCAGGCCCAGAGTTCAAGCCCCACAACCAACAAAAAAAAATTCTCTAAAACAAATTTATGTTTTCCAAAGCATAAAATGCAAATAGTTATGAAACAGTGTTCTTTTCCTTATATATAAAATATTACTTTTATTTTAGGATATACACTTAGGATATGACATATTCTGAATCCATGTTAGTACTGAAAATTATACCAGAGTAGTTTATCTGTTTTAACATACCAAAAATCTTGTACCCAATGCCTCCTGAAAGAAGCCATATTTGGAAGTGTATGCTTAACTCAGTGACCTTAGAAATGTGCAAAATCATTCTGAGATTTTCTAATTTTAACAAATATTTAGGTAGCACTCTATCTTACCTATATTAATACACTTCTATAAGGTAGATACTAACATTTCCTCTATTAAGGTATGGAAACTGTAGCATAAAAAGCATAAATAACTTGCCCAATATTATGCAACTAGTAGGTGAAACAGCCAGTGTCTAAACACATATAGCAGCTACCAGAATGTTCATCTTTAGCTACTGCACTGTCAAAAGTCATTTTGTGCAAAGATGATCATCAAGCTGAGGAATGCTTTGCTTGCTTTAAAAAAATTACAGAGGAGAGACAGAGGAAGATGACAGTGGAGCAGCTCGGGGCTAACCAAGCTCTCATGAAGAAACCAGTTTCAGTGTTCCAGTGAAAAATCCAAGGCGAGAGAGTCACACCACGTGTGCCATCATAGTACAGAGAGTTTGGCCAGAGAGGAAAAATTCAGGCACCTTGTTTAAGGAGTCAGATTTGTGGGCTGGGAATGTGGCTTAGTTGGTAGAGTGCTTGCCTAGCATGCATGAAGCCCTGGGATTGATTCCTCAGTGCCACATAAATAGAAAAAGCTGGAAGTGGTACAGTGGCTCAAGTGGTAGAGTGCTAGACTTGAGCAAAAGAAGCTCAGTGCCCAGGCCCTGATTTCAAGCCCCAGGACTGGCAAAGACAGAGAGAGAGGAGGGAAGGGGGAGGAAAGAGGAGAGGAGAGAGAGATTTGAGCACTCACCGGTGGCCATGTTGGCAGTGGTGGCAGCAGTGGCTACTGCTGCCATATCAACAGACACAGCCTGGAACAAAGGTGCCAGAGACAGAATGAGAATGGCTTCAACTCATTGCCAGCACAAGCTGACAAGGAGCAGAAATTTTCATCCTGCTGATCACAGACAGATGCAGATGGCAGATGGCCCCAAAACCAAAGGAAAGGCATGAGTACCCCACAAGACATTCCCACTCTTTCTCACAGAACAGCATTTGGAAGGTAGTCCCTCCCCCACCACTGGAGAAGAACATGATCTTGATACTGGCAAAGACTGGGGCAGAGCAGCTAGCAGATAACTCAGGCCTTAGAAGTAGACACTGACAAGCCAGTTTTGAACAGGGAAAAGGAACCTGACCAATGGGGTTCAGCTCCACCAAGGGGGAGTTGCCTTTCCCTGAGAGGAGGGAGCTCCACCCAGGGCAGGGTGACTTTCCACACTGGGTAAACACAGCCAGAAGTGGACCCAGCCCTCTGTAGCATGAGCTGCAGTCCCAGCTTCAGAAAGCTAAAAGAAAAACAATTTGAAACTGTATACTACATAAATCCTGAGAGAGGCTCCAGGCTTGGCCACAAGAGTGTTTTCCCCTCAGGGAAAAGCTACTGATTACTGACAGGCCACAACCCCACCTACATTCAAGCTCCCTCACAGTGACTCCAAGTTAGAAGAAGCAGCCCTCTCCCTCTTGTGTGAAACACACAACAGATTGCGCTTCCACTGAACTAGTCTGGAGGAGGGTCACATAGTCTCTGTGCTGGTAAGGCAGAACTTTGTTCTGTCTGCTCAAACAAACTGATTTAAGAAACAGACTAAGCCACAGGAAAAACCAAACACCACAAGCAAATTAGAGACTCCAACAAGAGACTAGATACAAACACAGGGAAGACACAAGAATCCCCAAATAAATTAAAGAATTCTTTTTCTACTAAATTAATTTTTTTCTACTTTTTTCATTATTTTTATTATTTTTTCTTTTTTCTTTTTCCCCTTTCCATTTTTGTCCTTTTTCTTTTTTTGCTCTACTTAATTGCTATTCTGTTCATCCCAGATTTGTACCCATCTTTAATTTTTAGGTCTTATCCTTCATTGTGTGCAAACTTTATTCAGACAAAGAGTACTTAATTCTCAATTTCTCAACCTAAGTTCCTTTAATTGTAGTATTATTTCTTTATACTTATATAATTTTTAAGTTTTTTATTAAAAATGTTTAAATTTCTTTTCTTTTTTCCTTTTGTTTCTTCTCCTTTCTTTCTCTCTTTTTCCTCTCTCTGAATTTAGGTCTTAGTTATCTTCCCTCTCTTCTTTTTTCTCCCTACATTGCTCTAATCTTATTTTCACCTCACAATTCTCCCTATACCTATTAATTTCTAGTCCCCTGACTCCTTCTTTGATTAGTCCATTGATCCCTAGTTGTTTGTTGTTGAACTAAACTGTATCTGTACTCATTTTGACTGTGTCAAAAAAAATCGGTGCAACTACTGGGCTCTGGGTTGATGCTTGCCTTAAAACAGTGTTCTAGTTAGGAATTAGTTTTGCTTTCATACACAAATGGGCAGAGCAAGATGTAGAAACACAAGAAAAATGGCAAGTCAATGACCTCATCTTTTGCTCATGATAAACAGGCAACAGAGTAGTTGATAAGTAATCCAGAGGAGAGTTCTCAAAATGTTCTACAAACACTAGTGATGAATGACAAGATTGAAACATTGCAAAGGGCTAGGGCAATGCATGAGTGTGATGAAGCTAACTGAATATTAATAGAGGAATTGCATGAGCATGAGGCTAATCAAAGATTAATGGAGGAATTGTGTGAGCATGATAAAAATAAACAAAGATTAATAGAGGGATTCATGGAATCCAACAAACAGAAAGCTAGAGAAACCCATGGAGGCCACAAACAGAAAGTTGAATGAATTCCAACAGAAGGAAAAGGAGTCCAATGAAAATGTAACCACTCAACTAAGGGATTTGAGAGTGAACACTGAAAACCAAATCAAGGAGGTAATGAAGATCACACAAGACCTAAAACAAAGCTCCAACAAAGAGAGTGAAGCCATCAAATCAGACCAATTAGAAGGAAAGGAAATAAAAACAAAGTAGAAAGTCTTGACAGTAGGCTAGACCATGCAGAAGATTGAATTTCTGGGATTGGAGATAGCCTAGACATTATAAAGAAAGATAAGATTCAAGACAAATCCAAGAAATATGAAAGACCCATTCAACGGATAGATGACACCATCAGAAGGCCTAATTTAAGGCTGATAGGTATAGAGGAGGGTCTAGAGACAGAAGTTAAAGGTCTAGGAAGTTTATTTAACAGAATCCTAGCAGAGAATTTCTGAAATATACAATCAGATAGGTCCATTTAGAAACAAGAAGCCTTTAGAAAACCGAATAGACCAGACCAGAAAAGGACATCCAATCGTCCACACTGCAATCTGCACAGGATCAATAGAGACCAGATAAAGGATCCTTAAAGCTGTCAGGAAGAAATGATCAGTCACCTATAAAGGAAAACCAGTCAGAATAGCTACAGAGACAATGAAAGCAAGAAGAGCCTGGAATGATGTATGCCACATCCTAAAGACAAACAACTATCAATGAAGAATTTTGTACCCAGCTAAACTCTCTTTCATAACAAAGGGACAAATAAAAACCTTCTACACACCAAAGAAAAATTGTAACAATGTATCTCCACTAAACCAGCCATACAAAATGTACTTAAAGATACTCCACACATAGAAAACCAACAAGAGCACCATAAAGGCCAAGAAACGGCCCCCAAACAGAGAATCATACTAGGAACACAGTAGGCACGGCTCCTAAGAAAATGGATAACATGGCAGGAACTACCAAACACTTCTCAATCCTAACTCTCAATATTAATGGACCCAATTAAACAACAGATTTCGAGTTGGATCACAAAGCAAGATACTTCCATCTTGTGCCTTCAAGAGACACACCTTGCCCACAAAAATAAACATATTCTGAAAGTGAAAGGCTAGAACCAAATCTACCAAGCAAATGGCCCCCATAAACAGGCAAGAGTTGCAATCCTAGTATCAGATAAAATAAACTTCAAATTAAAATTAGCAGGAAGAGAAAAAGAAGGACATTACATACTAATAAAGGGATCTCCCCTACAGGAGAATATAATAATTCTGGACATCTATTCACAAAATGCCATAGCACCCAAATTTATCCAAGAAATATTACTTTCCCTAAAATCACCATAGATCCCATGACATTAATTGTTGGGAACTTTAACATGCTACTCTCCCTGTGATATAGATCAACCTGGAAAAAACTCAACAGAGAAACATCGGACCTAAACAACTAGACTTAATAGACATCTACACAATATTTCACCCAACAGCATCAGAATATGCATTCTTCTCAGCAGCACATGGAACATTCTCAAAAGAGACCACATTTTAGGTCACAAAGCAAATCTGTCCAAATTCAGAAACATTGAATCCATGCCCTGCATTCTTTCAGACACAAGGAATGAAACTAGAATTCAACACTAAAAGCCACCAAAGAAAATCCTGTAACACATGGAGACTGAACAACACACTGTTGAACCACCAGTGGGTCATTGAAGAGATTAGAAAGGAAATTCAAATCTTTGTGGTATTTAACAAAAATAAACCTACAAATTACCAGCTCCTCTGGGACATAGAAAAGGCAGTACTTTGAGGAAAATTCTACATCAACAAATTGGAGAAATCTCAAACCAACAATTTAATGATGTATCTGAAGCTCCTTGGAAAAGAGCAACAAGCCAGAGCCCAATCCAGTGGATGGAAACAAATAATTAAAAATAAATCAGAATTAGATGAATTAGAGTTAAAAAAAAACCCATAGTGCAGGTGGACCCATTGCAACAATGAAATGTACAAGATGCTATGTCAAAAAACGAACTTTACAACTTTGGGGGGTGTGGGGGCAGTAGATGTGATGTGATGGTAAGGGGAAACAAAGGAGGAGGCAACAATACTTGATAAGAAATATATTCATTACCTTGCTCGTGTAATTGTAACCCCTCTGTATGGTATGTTCACAATGAAAAAAACTTTATTGAAAAAAAACATAGAAATAATCAACAAAACAAAGAGTTGGTTCCTTGAAAAAATTAGCAACATTGACATTCTCTTCTTTTTCTGGAAACAAAAATCAAAGATGAAAATGGAAACATCACCACAGAAACAACAAAGATTCAGAACATTATAAGGGAATACTTCTCAACCTTTATGCTAACAAATTTGAGAATCTGGAAGAAATGGAAGAATTTTTAGCAAATATTGATATCTCCAAACTAAACCAAGATAATTAAACCAACTTTACAGACCCATATCAAGCATGGAAATAGAAGCAGCAATAAGAGACCTCAGATCCAAGAAAAGCCCAAGACCAGATGGTTTCACAACTGAATTCTACAAGGCAGAACTCACATCAATACTCCTCCAACTCTTCAATAAAATTGAAAATGGAAGTTCACTACCAAACTCTATAAAGCTATCATAACCCTCGTCCCAAAAAACCAGGCAGGGATGCATCAAAGAAAGAACTGTACACCCATTTCTTTGATGAACATTGATGCAAAACTTCTCAAAAAAATTCTGGGCAATTGATTTCAACAATTCATCAAAAAAATCATACATCATGATTAACAGGTTCATTTCAGGGATGCAAAGGTGGTTCAATAAATGCAAATCAATTAATGTAATTCATCACATCAATAAAAGCAAGGATAAGAACCACATGATTATCTCAATAGATGCAGAAAAAGTATTTGACACGATCCAATACCCCTTTATGATGAAGACTCTGGAAAAACTAGGAATCCATGGAACATTCCTCAATATAATAAAGGTTGTGTTTGACAGACCTACAGCCAGCATTATAATTAATGGCGGAAAGCTAAAGCCATTTTCTCTAAATTCAGGAATGAGATAAGGATGTCCACTCTCTCCAATTCTCTTCAACCTAGTATTAGAATGCCCTGCTACAGCAATAATACAGGATCCAGTCATAAAAGGGATACAATTAAGGAAAGAAAAATAAAACTCCCACTTTGCAGATGACATGAACACCATGGGCTCTACTTCCAAGTTATGCTGATTTGGAACTTTGGCAAAGTAGCAGGGTATAAAATTAACCCTCAAAAATCAATAGCTTTTCTGTATAACAATAATGAGAAGAGCACAGCTGAAAAAATAAAATACCTAGGAATTAACTAAAGAAGTGAAGGGCCTCTATGATGAAAACTTTAAAAAATAACTAAGTAAGTGGAAAAATCTCCCATGCTCCTAGATTTAGAGGATTAACATCGTGAAAATGGCAATACTGCCAAAGACTATCTACCAATTCAATGCAATACCCATCAATATCCCAACCTCATTCTTCAGTGAAATAGAAGCAGCAATCCAAAAAGTTCATATGGAACAATAAAAAACCCTGAACAGCAAAAACAATCCCTAGCAGAAAGAACAATGCTGGAGGAATATCAGTACTAAAACTTCAAACTCTACTACAAAGCCATACTAATCAAAACAGCTTGGTACTGGCAGAAGAACAGACCTGAGGACCAATGCAATAGAACTGAAGACCCAGAAATGAACCCACCGACCTATAGCCATCTAATCTTCAATAAGGGAGCTAAAAAAATAGAATGGAAGAAAGACAGCCTCTTCAGTAAATGGTGCTGGCAAAACTGGTTAAACACTTATAGAAAACTAAACCTAGATCCTTATATATCACCCTGCACCAGAATCAACTCCAAATGGATCAAAGACCTTGAAGTCAAAGCAGACACCCTGAAAACATTACAAGAAGGAATAGGAGAAACTCTAGGGTTCCTTGGCACAGGCCAAAATTTTCTTTAAAAAACCCAGAAACACAACAAATCAAAGAAAGGCTCAACAAATGGGATTGTATGAAATTGCAGAGCTTCTGCATGGCAAAGGACATAGCTAGCAAGATCAGTAGAAAGCCCACAGATTGGGAGATCTTCACTAGTCATGTAACAGACAAGCCTCATATCTAAAGTATACTTAGAACTCAAAAATTAAATCCCCTAGCAACAAATCCTCAAAAAAACAACTGCCGGATTAATAAGTGGGCTAAAGAAAGAGAGATTTCTCTGAAGAAGAAATTAGAATGGTCACTAGACACATGAAGAAATTCTTATCTCTCTGGTCATAAAAGAAATGCAAATCAAAACAACATTGAGATTTAACTTCACCCCAGTTAGAATGGCTATAATCAAGAAATCTATTAACAACAGATGCTGGAGGGGTTGTGGCCAGAAGGAAACCCTACTGCATTGTTGGTGGGAATGTAAATTTGCTCAACCACTTTGGAAAGTAGTATGGAGATTCCTCAAAAGACTCCACATAGAGCTCCCCTATGACCCAGCAATCTCACTTCTGGGAATTTACCCCAATGATCACAAACAAGGCCATACTAAAGCTACCAGCACAACTATGTTTATCGCAGCATTTACCATAGCTAAGATACAGAGCCAACCCAGATGCCCCTCAGTAGATGAATGGCTTAAGAGAATGTTGTGTATATATACAATGGAATTCTATGCCTCCATCAGAAAAAAAAGACACTGCCCTATTTGTTATAAAATGGAAAGTGAAGAAAGCGAAGTAAGCCAGATGCAAAGAAATATAGATCCCATTGTTTCCTTTATTTGCAATAACTAGTATACATTTAGGATAATCTTACCAGATGAGCAGAAAAGCTCAAAAGCTATGTACATATGACCATATACTAATTGCATATATCCTTTGGTATGAAAAATTCCCCTGTGGAAGCATATAAGAGAAGCTCTTGAGTAATTCTTTGAATGAGTAATTGCCTATACAGAGTCTGGAGAAAACAAACTGGGGTTTGTCACTATCAGTGACAAGGGTGGTAGTGATAATTATTTAAGACAGGGGCAATTATGGAGAGATGATTGGAATGAAACTATGATGGCGACCAGAAAATACAGTATTTTAAAAACAAAGATTCTGATGACAAAGGGTGGGTATGTTTGGCTAGTGATTAAACATTTGTCTATATGTATATTTACAGATCTATTTCTTTTTAAAATTGTTGTTGGTTAATACTACGTTGTTCTTGAATTAGGGAGAAGCAGACATCTAGTACTTTTTTCCATGCTCTTTTCTGACATTCTTTATGATGCTTTCATGTATACTTGCAATATATTACAGAATTATTCACTCTTTTTTCTTCCCCATTTCCCTTCTCCTCCTAAGTAGTCTAATCTTTTAGTTCTATATTTATCTTATAAATGACTATGTTTATATATATATATATATAATTGTACATGAATATGTGTCTTTTTGGTCTAGTTTCCAAATACATAGTCATTTTTTGAAGTAATTACTGTACTACCCAATTTGTGCTGCCATAACAAAATACTGTAGATTGTAGTTTAAACAACAGCCTGTGATTTACTGGGAAGTCCAAGATCAAAGTGTTAACTGATTTGGTTGCCAGCAATCTGTGTTCTCCCCAAGATGTTGCAGAGGGAGAGGAAGAGGTAGAAGGAGAGAGACAGAGACAGACAGACAGACAGAGACAGACAAAGTGTTAGGCACATGGAAGGAAACAATCCATAGCACCTAAACCTGTGTGTTTTATTACACTTTCCCCTCCTCACTCTTTCCCTCCTTTTCTCTCCTCTTTTTCCCTCCCCTCTTCTCCCTTCCCATCCTCTCCTCTCTTTTCCCTTCCTTCTCTACTCCTCTGTCCTCCCACTCCCTTTCTCTTTTCAGTGCTGAAGATTGAATCCAAGATATTTTGTATGCTAAGCACATGTTGTCCACTAAACTACGTTCCTAGTTCTCTTATTAGGATTTTTAAATATAGTTCCTCATGCCTCTGCCAACATTTTTTGTGCTATTTTGTCTTATTTTAAATTTATTTCTCTGAATTTTAGGACCTTTTGGCTGTTGGCTATGGGCACTTTGGATTTAAAGAACAAAAACGAGGATTGGCTTGCTGCTGGTCAATAAAGAATCCCATGGTAACCCTAACAGGAATAGGAATCATTTTTATTTTAGTTAAATGTTAAACAAAGTTTTCATAAAGCATGTAATTGTATCTAATAATTCAACAAAATCTATGATATTTTATCAATCAAGACTTTTGTACTTTGCTTTAAACATACGATAAAATTTGTTCTTGTTGACATAAAAGGAATTCCATTAGTAAGTCACTTAATAAATATTTATTAAGACTCAAGATGCTGCTAGATATAGTGATATAAATTCAAACCATTACTAAAGAAGAATGCAATCTACACCGAAAATCATATGAAAATGACACATCTTTTTTTATACTTGGTGGTTTCTTAATGTATGAATAGCTTCTTCATACCTGATCTTTGTGTTTCCTCAACAGATTTAATCTGTTAAGGTTAATAAGTCTTACTGCCATGAATTTTACAAAGAGAATGAATAATAATAAGTAATTTTTTGTTACTTCATAAGTTTACATTTAGTTCTACTTCAAAACTCAAGTGTAGAGTGGAAAACTTGGAGAAGGGTAGGACAACATATACAATGATTAAAATGATTATAATAGCCCCAAACTGTCAGGAAGCTAAGTATATATAGAAATATATGTTATTTTAAATTTGGAAGGATTGACAGAATTGTCAGTAGTTTGTCATCTTTTCCACATAGATGGTTAGAAAGTGATTTAAACTAGACATAAGTTGTAAAACAGAGTATGTTAGAAACTTTTGGTAGAGTTTTCTATTTAGTATTTAGAATAGATAACCCAAGTTCTAAAACAACTGCTGGAAACAGCATTTGTCTGTCAAGATGATTAGCACGTGCTAGATTATTTGTTTGTAGCTCACTATGTGTTTCCGTAAATAGGTAAATATGTGACGGTAATATTAATCCTACTGAAAGATTACAAAAATGTGGCAATTGCTATAGAAACCCACAACATATTTTGTAAAGTGATTGAGAAAAATAAATAAATCAAGATCCAGGAGATAACTAATTGAGATTTTATTTATAGTTGGTTTGTTTTTGTTTTGTTTTTGTTTTTGGTCAATTGTGGGACTAGAACTCTAGGCCTGGGCTCTGTCCCTCAGCTCTTCAGCTCAAGGCTAGTGCTCTACCACTTGAGCCCCAGTGCCACTTCCGGCCTTTTCTGTTGATGTGATGCTGAGGAATCAAACCCAGGGCTTCATGCATGGGAGGCAAGCACTCTACCACTGAGCCACCTTTCCAGCCTATTTTTATATTTGAAGTTATAGAGACTAGAGTAATTAAACGTAGACTAACACTTTTTCTCATCTCTGCTATCATCAGAATAGTCTCAGCCTCCATCATTCCTTGCCTTACTGTGACTGTAATCTATAAACCTAACTTTGAAATGTAATATGATGACTTTTTTCCCTCAGTGGCCAGAGCGTATTTTTCATAGTACATATGGAGTTACTACTGTGGATTTTTCCATCGGAACACCTAACTTGTTAGCAGTTGGATTTCACAATGGCACAATTGCAATTTATAATGTACAGAGCAAGAGTAATGTTCCAGTTCTGGACTGTAGGTAAGCATCCAAGGATGATGTTAATATTTAGTGCATGCTTTTTTTTCAGGAAGATTGTTGTAATGTTACTTTTGAGTGAATTACTTTATTACTGAGAATGATTTAATTAGTTTTGAAACATTTAATACTTCTTCATATTGTCTCTCCATTTGGAACGCTCTGTCTTAATTTATCTCCATCGTCTTTTCTACCATCCTCCCCAACAAAATTCCTTGGTTTAATGCCTTGTAAACAATTCTTAAAGTATAGTTTTGGTGCCACTTTTCTCAGAAACCTCATTCCTTTTGTGCATCCTATCTATAACTTCATCATCACATTTGTCATATGTAAATTATTTGTAGAAATAATATTATAAGAATATCTATACTACTAAAAATAATTGCACATACAATCTGCATATAATGATAATGGATTTTTTCATAAAAATTCAAACTCAATTCTAATACTCACATGGAAGCACAAAAGGTAAAAAATAGTCAAAATGATCCTGAACAAAAATAAAGAACAATGCTGAAAGTACTGTATTATCTGATTAGTATCTGATTTCAAATTATTCTAAGAGCTAGAGTAAGTAACAAAACAGCATGACACTGGCACAAATATAGACACATAGAGAAATTGAACAGAACAGAAGGACCAGAAACGAGCCCATATTTTACAAAGGTCTCAAAAATATATGATGGAGACAGCCATTTCAACAAATGAGGCTGAGAAAACTAAATTTCCACAGGTAGAAGAATCTAAATCTAGAATCCTATCTCACATGGTATATAAAAATGTATCCAAAATGGGTAAAAGGACTCCAATTACCTAGGAAGTAAGAACAAGACTTGACTTCTGGGATCACATCAAATTAAACATTTTCTGGGGAAAAAAGCTGCTGTATATCCAACAAAACAATTACCAGAATGAAGAGAGAGTTGGGCACGGGTGGTTCATGCCTACAATACGAGCTACTCAGGAGGCTGAGATTTGAGGATCACAGTTCAAAGTCAGTCCAGACAGGAAAGTCCATGAGACTCTTAACTCCAATAAACTGCTCAATGAAGAGAGGTTATCAACAGAATGGAAAAAAAAATCTTTCCCCAAAGATTAATATCCTGAATAGTTAAATGCTCACAGAAAATTCTTCAAAGAAAATGGCCAAGAAGTACATAAAATTATTCAATATCCATAAAACATATGGATGTATAGCCACATGTCCTTTGATATAAAGGAAATACAAATCAAAACAATACCGAGATCCAAGCACTGGTATCTCATGCTTATAATCTCAGCTACTCAAGAATCTAAGATGTGAGGATCTCAGTTTGAAGCCAGCCCAGTCAGGAAAGCCTGTGAGATTTTTATCTCCTATTAACTATATAATAAAAATCCAGAAATGGAGCTGTGGCTCAAGTGGTAAAACACTAGCCTTGAGCAAAAAAGCTCAAGAACAGTGCCCAGGCCCTGAGTTCAGGCCCACCACTGGCTTGAACTCAAGAAATTCCATCTCACCCCAGTTAGAATGGCAAGAATAAAAACAAGAAGATTGAATGCTGATGAGAATGCAGCCCCCTGCATTTTACACACTTGGTGTGGGAATGCAATTACCCATTCTGGAAATTGGTGTGGAAGTTCCTAAAAGATCTGAAAATAATATATATACATATATATGTACACACATTGTGTGTGTGTGTGTGTGTGTGTGTTTAGTGTGACATGAATATAAAAGAGGGACTGTTTGGGGGTAGGAAATAGTGGGAAGGGGAAAGGAGGAAGAAATGAGAGTATGCATGGGGAGGTGAATATTATTGAAGTACTTCTTATACATGTATAAAAATGGAATGACTCGCCGGGCGCTGGTGGCTCACACCTGTAATCCTAGCTACTCAGGAGGCTGAGATCTGAGGATCGCGGTTCAAAGCCAGCCCGGGCAGGAAAGACTGTGAGACTCCTATCTCCAATAAACCACCAGAAAACCGGAAGTGGCGCTGTAGCTCAAGTGGTAGAGTGCTCGCCTTGAGCTGAAGAGCTGAGGGACAGCGCCCAGGCCCAGAGTTCAAGCCCCACGACCGACAAAAAAAAAAAAAAATGGAATGACTCAAGTGGTAGAGCAACTGCCTAGTAACCATGAAGCCCTGAGTTCCATCCTAGTACTACAAAAATAGGTTACAATGAAAATAGAATAATGATTCTTACTAAAATATTTTTTAAGTGTGGCCAAGGAGACAAGAAAATGCAATATATGGTGTGAATTTGATCAAAGCATATGCATGTATGGAAATATCACAATAAAACCATTTGTACAACAATAATACCAAGAACAATAATAAAAAGAAGTAAAAATTTGTACAATAAAACTATGAAAAAATTAATGTGGAGAATATGAAAGTAGATTCTGAGAAAACAATATTTGTTTTTGTATTTCTGCTAAGATAGAAGATAGACCAGTACAATCTTCTGCTAAGATAGACCAGTGCAATCTTCCTTTTGTAAGTAATAAGAAAGTCTTTGATGAATATAAGTATAAAGTGATTATCTTTCCTATTTGCAAAATACTTGACTCCAGTTTTGAAAATAAATCATCATTATATTAGTAGGTAACAATTTTGTATTATCCTTTAGTATAGCTGTCCTTCTACTATTATGTTTAAAAACACTTAAATGTTTTTATATTTGTCATTTTCCCTGTTTCAGTGAATCTCCTCTGAAACATTTGGGACCTATATGGCAGTTACAGTGGATAGAACAAGATCGGGGAACAACAGGTGATGACAAAAGGGAGATCCTCGTTTCTATCTCAGCGGATGGAAGAATATGCAAGTGGGTCATACGGAAGGGACTAGACTGTCATGGTAAGGAACAAAGAGTTCTTATATGATAAAAAAAAACAGGGTTTAGTTGTTTTATAGGCATCTAGTTCTTAGTTTTGTTAATTTTAATTTAATCACATGAAAATGATGGCAGAAGCCATAATGTTATTGGCAGAAAGGTTACCTAAGACTTGCAGGATTGTTCGTGTGGTAAATAACAGGTCATATATCTTTTCCTTTAAATAAAGATCTGATGCGATTAAAGCGAACAACTATGGGTGGCAACAAAAAAGGAGGGGAAAAGGAGAAGAAAGCTGAAGCTTTGATATCTCGACAGGCACCCGGAATGTGTTTTTCTTTTCATCCGAAGGTAAATTATTATTACTATTACATTTCTCACTTCCAAGAATTGAAGTATATGAAGACATAAAGCAAGTTAAAATGTTGGTGTGTTAATAATAACTTCCTTTGTATGTGAAAAGTAAGCATGGCTATGGCTTTCAGCTTAAGATAGGAGAAATATTTTAGTTGGGTATACTGGTCCTTTACCTGCTTTTCCTGGTAGAAGGTTGAACTATGGAAGCATTGATTCTTTTTTTTTTTTTTTAACAAATGTATGCTGTGGTATCCCTCCTTGCCCCTTTTATCCTTTCTGCTATTCCATGTACACAAACACAATATTGTATACATGTAATATAGTGCTTTAAAATATGAATTATGACCCTAAGGATTGGTAGATTAGGAAGATCACTTGAGTTCGTGTTTATCAAAACTAAACTCTTGGCATTATATAATCAGATAATTCAGATATTATGATGGACTTCTTTATTTCCCCATTTTTCAAAATTATCTTTTTTTGGGGGGGGGTCAGGTCGTGGGGCCTGAACTCTGGACCTGGGTGCTGTCCCTCAGCTCTTCAACTCAAGGCTAACGCTCTACCACTTGAGCCACAGCGTCACTTCCGGTTTTTTTTTCTTTTTGCTTATGTGGTGCTGAGAAATCGAACCCAGGGCCTGAGGCATGCAAGGCAAGCGCTCTACCACTGAGCCACCTTCCCAGTCCCTCAAAATTATCTTTATGTAGTTGTGCAAAGAGGTTTTAATTTTACATATATGACAAACTTGTAAGAAAAACTAATTCCATGTTTTCCATCACATCTAGTGATCATCTCTTAAAGTAATACCATAATTTACTTCATTATGTAAATAAAACCTTGAGGTCCTCCTCTGTTGTACCTTATCATATAAATAATATTTAACTCTAATTAATCTATTCCTTCTTGTCCTAGCCTATGACTGTGACTATAGTTAAGGCTTTATTATTTTCAATTCTACTCTTGCAACCATCTTTTAACTCTCTTCATTCTCAAATCCTGTGATATACCTTCACTTTAATTTCAGAATAGTAGCTTTCAATGTGATGGAGAAGGGGATTTCCCTACCAGAGTCTTTTAGGAATGTCTAGAGATTGTACCTGAAATGTGTTGAGACAAAGATGGGAAAGCACCAGTGGGCAGAGATGCTAAATACTCTACAGTTTATCACGTAGTCACGGTTCTCCTGCCATCCACTATCACCCAAACCATTTTCTGACCCAAAATGCCAATGATGCTGGGTTGAGAATATATATATATGAATATATGTATGTGAAATATATATATGTGTATGAAATATATGTGAAATAAATAGATGAAATATATATATGAAATATATTTTGAAATCTGTTTTTGTTTATATATCTTCTTTTTTAATTATACAAGGGGATTTCATTGCATTATTTTTATACATGCATATACTTTGATATTCTTCTATCATTCTTATTCCCACCTTTATACTTTTTTGTTTTATAATTTTAGATCTCACTGGCTCCAACCCCAAAATAGTCTTCCTTGAACATTCATATCCTAGACCTTTATATATAACTTACCACATATGAGAGAATCAAGTATATTTGTCTTTTTCCTCACTTGATATGATGATTTCCTCCATTTTCCTGCAAGTGACATAATTTTATTCCTCTTTATGGCTGAGTATACTTTATTGTATTTACATTTGGACCACATTTTCTTATTCATTGATTAATGGACAACCAATACATACTTCAGTGTATATATGGGTGTATATATATATACATAATATATATATACATATATTACATTTCCTTTATCCATTTATTGGTTGATTAGGTGAATTCTATAGCTTGCCTATTGTGAATAGTGCTGCTATAAACATGGGTAAATAGGTAGTTCTATTATATCCTGAATTACATTCCTTTGGATAGACACTCAGGAGTGATATGGGAGGATCAAATGGTAGATCTACTTTTAGTTTTTCCAGGAAACTCCATTCTGATTTCCATAGTATATATACTAATTTACATTCCCACACCAAATATATATAACAATTTATTTTCCCTCTGCATACACACCAGCACTTGTTGCTGTTTTCCTTATTGATTTTGTCCATATGACTAGGGTGAGATGGATGTAATATTAGTGAAGCTTTGATTTGCATTTACTTTTTTATTGTCAGTCCTGGGGCTTGAACTCTGGGCCTGGATGCTGCCCTCAGCTCTTCAGCTCAAGGCTAGCATTCTACCACTTGATCCACAGTGCCACTTCTGGTTTTCTGGTGGTTTATTAAAGAGTCCTGCCCTGGCTGGCTTTGAACAGTGAGCCTTAGATCTCAGCCTCCTGAGTAGCTGGGATTACAGGCATGAGCAACTGGCACTTGGCTTGATTTGTATTTCATTTATGGCTAAGGATATTGAGCATTTTCAATGTATTTATTGGCCACCTGTTTTTCCTTGAAGAACCTTCTTTTCTATTCATTTGCCTATTTATTATATGTTCTTCAAGTATTTAATTATTTGAATTCTTAATCCATTTGGAATATTGGGAATGTTTTTCCCCGTTCTGTCTGCTCTCTCTTCATTCTGATAATCTGTTTTATTTGATGTACAGAAGCTTTAAAATTTGATGCAATACCATGGTTGTCTTGCTCTTACTTCTGAGGTAACTGGAGTCCTAGTCAAAGTCATTGGCTATGCCTATGTTTTCCAATGTTTTCCCTGTTTTCTTCTAGTAGCTTCAATTTCAGGTCTTACATTGAGGTCTTCCAGTCCATTTTGAATCAAGGTTTGTATACCATGAGAAATATGGTTCTAGATTTAGATTCTTCAACATGTGGACATACAGTTATCTCAACCCCATTGTTGAAGAAGCTATATCTTCTACAACATGCATTTTTGAGACCTTTCTGAACTATCTGATCGGTGTAGCTATGTAGTCTTATTCCTGGTGCTTCTGTTCTATTCCATTGTTCTCTATGTCTGTATTTGTGGTAGTGCTGTGCTGTTTTGTTGCTTACTGTGCCTCTTACTATAATTTGAAGTCAGATAAGACAGTACATACAGCATTTCTCCTTCTTTTTGTTCAGGATGTCTGAAATGCCATCTAGTTCAACTTTTCATTTCCAGCAATAACAACTGTTTTTTTTAGCATGATGCACATAAATAGTTATCATCATATTATTCTGTTTGTTCTTCGACTAGTTCCAGTAGAAGAGCATTTACTGTGTCCTTGTGCTGTTAGCTCCATTGTCAGGAACACTGAGTGTCAGAAAGCTCTTTCTCATTTAAGCTGAAGTTTTTTTCCATGTAGTTTTTAGGCAGACTATTAAGAATTATCCTTTATTCCAGCAAAAGACTAATCTGTATTTTCTTTTGCATAGTACTTTTGCAGGCATTTCATCAATGTAAAGTTATAACAGAGAAAAAAGAAAAGAGATAACTACATTCAAGACAGATTTTCTTGTTTGGGTTTTTGAATTGATTTTTAATATCTCCTGAATTAGCCAATCTTATCTATTATCTATCTATCCATATATTATATGTAGTTACTGGTATATCACAAGATAATCCATTTTGGATTTCTTATGTTTTAGGACACAAATATCTACTTAGCTGGCACTGAAGAAGGTCTTATTCACAAGTGTTCTTGTTCCTATAATGAACAATACCTAGATACCTACAGAGGACATAAGGTTAGTTTAATTACAGCAGGTATATACTAATGTATGTTATAGTTGAAAAGTATCATTGTATACAGCATATATAACTTGCAATACATTTATAAGTTCAGAGTTAATACCAGCTTCAATTAAGTAAAATTGTTTCTTGTGGATATGTGTTGATGAACCCATCCATGTTTTTACAAAATCTTCCTCATTTTTTCTTTAATATTATTTACTATCTTTTAAAGAAGATATAATTTATGTTAACACCCAGTGAACAGTACGATGAATATATTTTTGTGATTATATATAGAATAATTAAGGGATGATTCAATTTATGATCTTATTCTAGGAAAAAGAAATACTAATGGGTATTGTAGTGTGTAATGGATAGTGTTAATTCTAAAAATATTGATATTTTTAATATGCTAGTTAAGTTTAAAATATAAAATGTTGCTTATTATTTACTTGTATATTTTAATTTTCTATTTCTAGGGCCCAGTATATAAAGTAACATGGAATCCTTTCTGTCATGATGTATTCTTAAGCTGCTCTGCAGATTGGGGTATCATAATCTGGCAACAGGAGACTCTTAAGCCATTTCTGAGTTTTTATCCAACTACTCAAGTTGTTTACGATGTTGCCTGGTCTCCGAAATCACCCTATATATTTGCAGCTGCAAATGAGAGCAGAGTGGAGATTTGGGACCTGAGCATCAGCATGTAGGTGTTAATGTTTCTTGAGGACATTTCTAGTAGAAGCAGTTCAAACTAAATGACAACTGATAGCTTTTATATCTATTAAAGAGTGCTGTAAGTTACTGTAAAAGAGAAGTAATAGTTTACTTGATGGCATTCTAATATTAATAAATATATATTTGAGGATGCTATACTAATGTGAATTACTTATGACATACGTAGTTTAGAAACATCTGAATGAAAATAACTCACCTCACTTATCTCTTTAGAATTTTAGTGGAAGAATCAGAATATCATACCTATCTTGAATTTTCATTCATTCCTAGATTTAAAGAGTAATACAGGGAGGCATACTTACATTTCTTTCTTTTTTTGTGGGTATGTTTTTTATTGTAAAAATGCTGTACAGAAGAGTTACAGTTACATGAACAAGGTAATGAGTACATTTCCTATTGAGCATTGTTGCCTCCCCCTTTGTTTTCTCCCTACCATTCCTTCCCTTCCCTCCCACCTCCACATCTACCCCCCCCCCAAGATGTAAAGTTTGTTTTCAACATAATATTTTGTATGTGTCATTGTTACAATGGGTCAACCTGTATCCTTATTTAAGCATTTTATTTTTTCCCTTCCCCTCCCTAAATTAGAGAAGTGTATATACAAGATACAGGGCACCGACATCAAACACGGTGAAAACGGTTATACCACGGGGGAAGGAACATACAAGAAACAAAAAAAAAAAAATCACATGGTACATTATAAATACGTTAGAAACAATAGCAAGAAAGAAAAAAAGAGGGCCGGGAAGGTGGCTCAGTGGTAGAGCTCTTGCCTTGCATCCATGAGGCCCTGGGTTCGATTCCTCAGCACCACATAAGCAAAAAGAAAAAAGCCGGAAGTGGTGCTGTGGCTCATGTGGTAGAGTGCTAGACTTGAGCTGAAGAGCTGAGGGACGGCGCCCAGGCCCAGAGTTCAGGCCCCACAATCGGACCCCCAAAAAAAGTTTAAAAAAAAAGAAAAAAGATATTTATGTCCCTATCTTGGAGTTCATTTCGCTTAACTTCATCTTATATGGTCACACGTACAGAACTTTTGGCCTTTTCTGCTTGTCCTACACATGTACTAGTTATTGCAAATAAGGGAAACCATGGGACCTATGTTTCTTTGGGCCTAGCTTACTTTACTTAATATAATTTTTTTCAAGTCTTTGCATTTCCTAACAAATGGGATGATGCCATTCTTTCTGATGGAGGCATAGAATTCCATTTTGTATATATATATATATATATATATATATATATATACACACACACACACATATATATATATATATATACACACACACACACACATATATATATATATATATATATATATATATATATCTATGCCACATTTTCTTGATCCATTCATCTACTGAGGGGCATCTGGGTTGGTTCATATCTTAGCTATGGTAAATAATGGTGTTATAAACATAGTTGTGCTGGTAGCCTTAGGATGGCCTTGTTTGTGATCGTCTGGGTAAATGCCCAAAAATGGGATTTCTGGGTCATAGGGGAACTCTATGTGGAGTCTTTTAGCTTCTGCATGGCAAAGGACATAGCTAGCAAGAACAATAGAAAGCCCACAGATTGGGAGAAGATCTTCACTAGCTATACAATGGACAAGGCTCTCATATCTAAAATATACTTGGAACTCAAAAAATTAAATCCCCCAACAACAAATCCTCAAAGAAACAACTGCCTGATAAATAAGTGGGCTAAGGATTTAGAGAAACTTCTCTGAAGAGGAATAAGAATGGCCAATAGACACATGAAGAAATGCATACTTACATTTCTAAGAAAGATTCTTCATTACTTAAGGAAGGTAGGTCCTTAATCAGATAGACAGGAGGGAGGGAAAGCAGGAGAAAATAAGAGAGAGGGTAACACTGTTTGACAAGAAATATACTCAATACTTTACTTATATAATTGTAACCTTTCTGTACATCACCTTTACAATAAAATAAAATAAAAATAAAATTAAATATAAGATAAATGGGGGGCTGGGACAGTGGCTCAGTGGTAGAGCACTTGCCTTGCATGCTCGAGGCCTTGGGTTTGATTCCTCAGCACTACATAAGAAAAAAGCCGGAAGTGGCGCTGCTACTCAAGTGGTAGAGTGCTAGCCTTGAGCTGAAGAGCTGAGGGATAACGCTCAGGCCCAGAGTTCAGGCCCCATGACTGACAAAAAAAAAAATAAGATAAATGAAGGGGACAAAATAATTATTTTTTTAGTATCTATTGATGATTTTACTAACTTAAGATCTTACGCTGAAGTTATCAGGAGCCATTTAGATTCATCTATTTTTTTAAAATATATTCTTAATATACAACTTTATATAATGTGGGAAATATTTAATGATTTTACTTCCATTAGAAAGTATAAGTTTTCATGATAGTTATTAACAGAAGGAGCAGAAAAATACTTTTTAAAATAAATGATATAAACAATGGGATTTCATTTATTTATTTATTTTGCCAGTACTCTGGTTTGAACTCAAGGCCTTACATTTTCTTACCCAGCTATGACATTTGAGCCATACTTCCAAATTTTGGAGATTCAGTCTGAGCTGTGACTAGCTTCAAATACTGGTCCTCTGGATTGTCTAGTGACATTGTTTCCATTAAAAATATAATGTTGATTGTAAAGGGGGAAGTGTTTGGGGAATAGAAGATGGTAATAAAAATATATATATTAAAAAAGAATTTAATCCTATTAAATAAAGAAAAGGTACTCAGTACTTAAATTTTTTTGGCATGGCTCATTCTTTAAAATAGTATCAATAAATTCTTGCCTGCATTCTTTTCCCTTTGCCACTTCATTCTTCTGCCCCACTTCCCTTGCAAGTATCAATTTCCTGGTACTTACTTTGATGGGGTGGGCCAAAGGGGGTGTGAAGATATTGAAGTAAGGACACAGATCAAGATGCATTGTACACATAAACTATTTTTAGTGGCAAAAATTCAATACATAACCTAAAATTAGGATAAGTAAGCGGAGGGAGTCTTGGGAGGAGTAGGTAAGAATGTTGAAAGAGGTGGCATTGACCAAGATGCACTGCATTCATAAACTGCTCTGGTGAATAGCTGTTCCTTTGTGCAATATTTTTAAAAACAGTATCAACATAAAGTGAAGAATTATATTACAAGTTACTTGTGATAGATGACTAATGTCTATTTAAATCCAACCGCTGACTTAAAACTATAGTTTTACCAGAAAAATAGTAGCAACTCTAAAAAGTTGCTACTTTAAATATTTCTAAAAAAGCAAATTGTTTTAGACATCCAAGACTAGGGAAAAATCCTGATCAAAAATGTCCTTTTTAACTTTTAAATGTTTATTTAGATCAAAATATTCTTTTGTTAAGACAATTATTATGGGCTGGGGGTGTAGCTCAGTGGTAGTGTTGATTTAGTGTACAGAAGGCCCTGGTTTTGATTCCCAACACAGCGAAATAACCAAAACTAAAACCAAACCAAACAACACTTCTTCTTCCCCCCACAAAAATGTACTATTTACAAAATTGTTAGACAGATCTTCCCAGAATGTGTAGGATGTGTTCATCTTTTTCTGCCTCTGTCTCTATCTCCGATTTCTATCTCTATATTGAAAGAGCTTAGTTTTGGGAAATTAACTCACACAGTAATGGGACTGGTTGGTGGGTTGGAATTCCCAGCAATCTTGTTTTAGTGCTGAATTCAAATGTATTTTGTGGGCAGAATTTTGTTTCACTGCAGGGAATTTCCATATTTTTAATTTTAATGATTTGGATGAAGCCCACCTACATTATTGTGGGTAGTTAGGTTTATTCAGATTCTGCTAAAATAAGTGTTAATCATGTTTTCAAAACAAAACAAAACCAAAAAAGACTCACAGGAACTTGTAGAGAAGCATTGGATCAAAACACTATGGTAGTCTCACCAAATTGACACACTAAATCAACTATTACAAAAATTTTAATTTATAAGGCCACATCTAAATTGAAATGTATTTTAATTTACCTGATCAGACTGGTTCATTGAAGGAATGAAGTTTTCTATTAAGGAGTGGTGGGCAGTTATTTTGAGTTTGGAAACACTTCTAGGCTTTTGGTTACTTTTATATAAAATTTTAAAAAACACTCAAACTTTTCTTGGTGTGTGTCTTTAAAAGGATCATTTTAATATAACAACTGAATTTACAAGTAAAATGTTTAATTACAGTTTGGACCCTCTGATTGTGCATGTTGCTAACCCTGGAATCAAGTTTACAACGGTTCTCTTCTCCAAACAAACAGATTGCCTTCTAGTGGGAGATAGTGATGGACATGTTGTTGTATATGAACTGAGAAATATGCCTACTGCTTCAGATTCTAGTCGGGTAAGACTCAAAAGTAAAAATCTCAAGTCATTTCATGAGCATATTTAGTTGCGATTTTGTAGTGTGCAATTAAAGAGTATTTTGTAGATATGTTAAAGTTGACGTAATGAAAGAACCTAAGTTGCCACTAAGTAGACCTGGTATCTAGTAGGTTTATTTTCTGTAAGCCTTGCTTTTTTATCTATTTGAGATCAATAATGAGAATAACAATATTGCTGAATGTAAGAATTACAGGTGTTATACAGAAGAACTTAAAATTGTGCCAATGATTGGTGTTGTTGGGACGTAGTAATTATTGAATATAGCTGAAGTTTGCTGTACATTTTCAATAATTTTGGAGGAAAATAAGATTTTGTTTTCTTGGCTTAGTATTATCTTATTCTCCTCTCATCTTCAAAAGGAAAGTTTTGTTGCTGAATTTTGCCAAGCAATTTTGTATCATTTGAAGTTTGTTTATTTTCTATTACTCCTGAGCCTTGAATTCTAGGCTTAGGTGTTTTCCCTAAGCTCCTTTTGCTCAAGGCGAGCACTCTACCACTTGAGCTTTTTCTGTGATTAATTGGAGATAAAAGTCTCATGAACTTTCCTGCCCTGGCTGGCTTCAAACCAAGATCCTCAGATCTCAGCCTCTTGGGTATTTAGGATCACCAGTGCCTGTCTTTAGAGGCTCATTTTTAGAATAGATGTTTCTGTTTCTTATGTTTAACTTGCTAGGCAAAGAGTAATCTGGTGAACATTACATGAATAAGAGAAGCATGTTAAGTATTAAAACCATATATGAACCAGTAACAAAAACATTAAGACTTCAGTGGAAGAGTGAGCAGTAGTAAGGGACAGGTTATTCACCAAAAATTTAAAAATATATTTTAAAATGCAACCTCACTAATAAAGAAAAACTATTAAATCCAATTGTGATAATATTTTCACATATTAAATTAGCAAGATTTATTTTTAAAATTTTATGGGTCTATCATAACATTTGATAAGCTAAGATCTTTCATAATAATGGTTTGACTAGATACTGATGTAACTTCATTAGTGGTGGTACTAGGGTTTGGACTTAGGGATGTGGGTTTGCTAAGCAAGAATTCTGCCACTAGAACCATGACCTTAGTCCTTTTTTATTTATCTATTTCTCCAATAAAGTTTTACATCTATGCCAGACTGGGCTGAAATCTTCCTATTTGTGCTTCCTGCTAGCTGTGATGACAAGCATATATACTACCACTTACAGTTTTTATTGATGGAGATGAACTCTTCTGCTTAGACTCAAATCATAGTCCTTTAGATCTCAACCTTTGGGGTAGCTAGGATTTCAGACATGAGCTACCACACACAGCTTTTGGAAGCAACTTGACCCGCTAAAGTGTTTGAAATGTTCAGGAAGGGTTGGTGGTACAGCTCAAATGGTATAGCACCTGCCTATCAAGTATGAGGAGTCCCAATTTCAAACTCTAGTTTGACAAAAAGGCCAGAATATGACAAGAATGAAATATTTAAGGAATATTGATCCCTTAAACTATTAACTCCACACTTGTGACTCTATACTATAGAAATATTCATAAAAGCAGCAAAAGAAATTGATTGTAGAGTTACTTGTGATGATTTTTTAAAGGAAAAACTTTAGTAGCCAATGAGAAGGAAACATGGCGGGAGAAATCATGTGGTTGATTAAATTAATCATATATAGAACTAGAGATCAAACTATATAGACTTGCAAGTGTTAAATAAGTAAATGAAAAAAATGCTTGGTAGTAGATGTCATTTATTCCACATATAATCCACAGAGCCCATTCCTTTATCCATTTTTACTCTTTGCTTAGATGTCAATTTCTCAGTAAAAATTTCTTTGATCATCTGGTTTAAAACTACAGCTTCTATTCCCACCACATTTTCTACTCAATACTCTCCCATCACTTATTTTCATGTTACAAGATTTTTAAGAGTTTTAATTTCTCACATTCATTTACTAGGAGATATTTTAACAAGTAGTAGGATGTTTTTACCCACTTTGAAACTTATCTAAGATGTACAACTCAATGGTTATAATAGATTTAAAAGATTCTATTTTTTCTTATTAGCATATATTAATTGCACAATGTGAAAGATTTAATTTGATACCTTATACATGCATAGAATATATTTTGATCACATTCACTTTATTACTTTTTCTTACTCCTTTACCCCTTTTCTGGGTAATTCTATTCTTAATTCAACTTCTTATAAAACCACTTATGTGGATCCAATATAGTTCATAGCAAACCTTTTTCATTCTCTGTTTTAAGATTTATCTGAAATTTTAAATAAGCTCTCAAAGGTTCAATTCATCATTAAAAAAATCTTTATTGGAAATGGCACTGTGGCTCAAGCAGTAGAGCATTCGCCTTGAGCTGAAGAGCGCAGGGACAGCACCCAAGCCCAGAGCTCAAGCCCCACGACTGACCAAAACAAAAAACAAAACCAAACAAACAAAAAAAATCTTTACTATTCTTTTTTATTGCAAGTCCTGGGCCTTGTATTATTCTTTTAGGACCATTCTGCAGGAGTTTTCAAAACTTGTTCACAAACTCTGAACTTGATGAAGTTGGGTTGTTTAAATTATTTTAAAATGTTTGTTGTGTTTTCTGGGGTAGCATTAAAGATTTGTCTGTGAGCATCAACATGCTTGTTCATCTGTTTTCCTTATATATACATCTGTAGAAGCTTACTGGTATTTATCCATTGGAATCACAATATTTTGTATGCATTACTCATTTGAGCTACTTGAAAACTTGAATCTTCAGGTATCTATCTTAGTGTTAGCACATTCTGGACCTTCAAGTGGATGTGTTAAATTAAATATCCGAGTGAACAAATATACAAACTAAAGGTTTCTAAGAAAAGGACAATATAGCTAAGAGAAACTGGAGAAGAAAAAAAAATCTTATACCAGAATAACACAGCTCTACAGAAAACGCTGAGTAGAAAAATAATTCACTTTTGAAAAGCAAATGAGAAGAGGTAAAGAAAAATATAAAAGAAGAATGCTTTCACCAAGGAGACTAATTTGAATTGTGCTTTATGGTTTCAGAATTTAAGATGTAGGAGTGATTGTGTTGTTATAGATTAAATGAAAGGCTTGAGCAGAGAGAGACAACTGGAGACAATCTTGTGAACTTTTACCTGGTCTGGTCTGGTACCATGATGCTCATGATCTTAGCTTCTCACATACTTGATATAACTAATAGCCATGTACTATACATCCTTGTGATTAGGCTATAGGTTGAGATGGCATCCTTTGAACTCATCCCCACCCCAATTGGCATATTACCATAATCCTCCCAATCTCAGGTTACAGGGGTGAACCACTGCACCTGGCTAAGAATGTAATTTTTGTCAATAAAATTCTATTTCTTTTATTAAAAATATCTGAGTAAAAATGATACTTGTTGATTTAGGTAGTTATGTGTTTTATACTAGCAGATGGCATGTGTTCCAGGTATGCTGGAGAAGCATTCACTGGATAAAAGCTATGGAGAAAGGATCAGTAGTGGTTTTAGGACCACATCTTCCCTCTCTGGAAGCTAGTCATCCTTTGTGGTGTTACAGAGAAGAAGAACTCTTGACTTTTGAGCTCTGGAAATTTTTAATGACATCATTTCTGATATTCTGACCCTGCTAGATGAGAATACTTTAGGCTTTAGCCTTAGATTAAGGTTTATTGTTAGGGGCAGCACTTGCCTCATCCTTGGTATGAACAGAAGACTGGAGCTGAAGGCTTGCAATTATAACTTTATAATGTCGTTTACTGTTGACAAGATTTACTACTACAATTGCTTTCATAATTTGGGAAATTCCAGCTCTTCCAGCATGATGACAGTTCATTGTCAGAGGTCTAAGTTTTGCTGTAAAAAGTTACAGTTTAAGAATTTTGTGGAAGTCAATTTCAGTGGGGACATTTCACGAAGCAACTCTTTTTCTAGAGGAATCTTTTGGAGAACATTTTGGATGCTACTTTTACCATTATGGATCAATATAAAAATGTTTGCCATATTTTTCTGCACTTTTTAGTGTTTATATTTCTTCCTCACAAAAGGCAAAGTTTTTTTAAAATTTATTTATATTATTTTATTTGTGAACATACTGTACAGAGGGGTTACAATTACATGGGCAAGATAATGCATACATTTCTTACCAAGCATTGCAGCCTCCTCCTT